TAAGAAATGCTTAAATTATAAGACATTTAAATCAATTACTTATTAAATTATGATGTTTTAAAGAAATTTGTAAAAAATAAAATTTTCCGTGAAAATGTAAAAATTGACGGAAAACAGAAACCGCCGCCCAATATAGGCTCACATATGGTCGGCATTTGGGTCTACCATTTACCGCATGGACAGGGCTTCAAAGGGGTACGGTTTAGTCATTCTCTTATTTTTGCGTTTACACCAATATTAACATCTAACTCACCAACTCCAAAAATGATAACGAGTCAATGGTAACTTTTGACGCACCTTGGTAAATTAGACTTTTAATCAATCAAGATATTGAAAATTATTGATCAGCCAGTACTCATCAGTTTTATTAAAAATAATTGTAACATGAATTTTAATTGGCCCACTTGTTACAAGTGGACAACTTAGAAATGAGTTAAACATCGATTATAATAACGGCGCCGAGTGTTTATTATTGAAGCAATATGCTTGATAATAGTTAAAACATACATAAACAAAATGTTCGGCCGACTATCGTAGGTCAGTATATGAATGATTTGCTCAAAAAATTGTTACTAATCTATTTCTATAGCCTTAAACTACTGTCACATTGGAAGTAAATACAATTATCTCACGTACAGATTGTGCACTTTGCGAGACAGTATTCCATCCATACCCGTACACAGCATTACATTATTTGTTGATTTGACTATGTTTATTTTGTTGCCATAAACGTGCCAAATGAATCCAAGATTGACATAATTTTTTCATGTAATATTTGGCCATTGTTTTAAAATTATAATTTTGTTATTTAAAACTTTAAAACTATAAAAAAAACAAATAATTTGTATTTTAAAATAAATAAATTGTTTTAATAATTTTGAATATTACATTGTATTTATAAGCATAATTAATTAAAACTTATATAAGATTGAGCCAGTGGAGTGAAGTAAACAATTAGTGATTATAAAGAATGAAAGAACTCTATGAAATTATTACAGTTTATTATTGTTCATCTTCAGTGCGTAAACTTCATAGTTATGCTAAATTAATTCAAACATTATATCATAACAAAAATATTAATTGATTTTAACCAAATCCATGTTAAAGTGTAATTGATTTAAATATTGTATTCAATGCATTCGATGGCAGTTTGTGTCCTAATCTTAATATTTTTTCTTGTTTTAATGAACCGTTTTTACACAATATATTCATATCAACAATTGTTTGGTTAGAAATATTCAATTTATATAAATTAACATGATTATAAAACATAACTGTAATCTTTATTATAAACTATTGAATTAAATAGTACTGCTTTAAATGTACTTCATTGTTCAATCTAATATTGAACTATTCGTTTGATCATTACATGTGATATATGTAAAAATATTTTATTTGTAATAATAAATAAAAATTGAATGTGGATACAAAATAATGTTATCAAAAACAAAACATAGTTTTAACAAATATCAATTAATGTTTGCCTGTGCTGTCACTTTTCTCAAAAGTTTCACCACCATTCTTTTTAGGCCCCAATTGTATTGTATCGGTATTATGATCGACAGCCCAGTCCTGAACCTTTGCCGACCCAAACACTAAATATATAACTGTTCCCAATATATACACTATAATTGTTGTGTAGAAAATGATTGACCAATTGGTTAGCGTATGCTATAATTAACAGTTAGTTAGTTAATTAACAATTAATTTAAAACATAAAATAGTTAATAAATATTTACCCCGTTGTTAAGAAAATAAGCGGCAAATTGAGGGGCAATAAGTCCGCTAACGCCAGCCATAGAGTTGGTCACCCCATACAGAGTGCCCGCAAAATCTGGTGCCATATCGACGTGAGTGGACTTAAGCGATGAAAAGTGACACCCATTGAGGCCCGCGGCCACAATGAACATGGCTATAATTGCGGTGGTATGACACCGGGCGTATATTACGTTCAACAAGAATATTGCCGGTCCCAAATAAGCTTTGTGAATTAATATTTAAAACTTTTATAATGATGCTGTATTTTTTAACATATGTATAACACATACCAATTGCGTGATTAGTTTTGCGAATAATATTAATATCAAAATTACTTTCCCTTAGATTATCACTGATGTGAGCGGCAATCCATGCGATCACAGTCTGGGACAGGTATGTTAGCGACGACATGAGTGCTGTCTGTTTGTAATATTAAAATTTTGTTATATTATTTAAACATCATGTTGTTAGTAAGAATTACCCTCTTGACACTTAATTTCAATACATTAGCCAAATATATTGGCAAAAGTGCTTCCATTGTATAACTCGTCCAATCATTGCAAAAGTGAGCGATGGTTAGCGCGTAAAATGGTATGGATGTGAGCATACCTTTCCACGGCATTACACGTCTCTACACATAAAAATATATTAATTAAATATTTAGAATAATTAAATTAAATTAAATTTATAATTTGATTTACAATAATCATTTAAATTTGTAGTTAATTAAACGAGATGAGTTCTTAATAACAGCCATTTGATAAAGAAAATTAATATTTATAAATATATTAGTTGTAAAGTACATTAAGTTTTACAGTCTCTACACATAAATATATAAATTAAATTTATGTAAAAAAACTAAACTACATTTATTATATTATTTTATTTTTATA